ACGTAATTTACAGGAACGAAAACAGTCTCCAGCCAGTCGGATTCTTTTTCGAAAGAAAAGCTCGGGGGTTTGTCTGGGCCCCTTTCCCTGGTGCACACCTGGTGGATATCACTTTAAAAATAAATTATGCCTCATTAAATTACAATTAAGTGGAATCACGATCATTTGTTTTTCTGGAAGGAAGATGTTTTGCATATTGAAAGCCTAATTTGTTGCAGGTGACAAAAAGGCTATGCAGATTACCTAATATCGCTTCATTTGGGGGCGGCGGTGCTGCCTCGCTGTGGTGTCGGGATCATGTTTGTGTGGTCAGCGGTGTGGGGCTGAGGGTGCCTGCTTTTGCGGAGATGGACTTCTCTTGTATTCTGAGGAGGCTTCTCTCTCTCCTCACGTCGTTCCGCGGCTGTGGCTGCTGGCCCCTCTTTGCCTCGCCTGGTCTTGCACCCTCCCCATGTGTGACTCCGAGTCCCACCGGGCTGGGCCGCAGCTCTCGGCACCTCTGCCCCCGCCTGGGTTCCGGGGGTGCGTCGCTCCTCTCAGCGAGGGTGGCACCAGCTCCTGTGCATTTGTGACGCTGTTGTCTTTTCCCTCTTCCTCTAAGACTGTCTCCTCCTCCCAGATAGCTGTCTTCCGGAGCAGGGTCTGTCTCTTTGTGGTCTTCCGGCCCTCGCTGAGCTTGTACTGAGTGAGAAGTAAGAAGCAAATTCATGGAGCCGTCGCCCATGCTCCCAGACTAGGTGTGTGGAGCCTGAGGGCTCCCCCTGTGACGGCGGGAGAGGCTGCGCTTAGGCAGCGGTGGTAAACCTGTGGCACCCGTACTGCAGCTGGCTGTCTGTATCATCAAAAGCCCTAAGACATCCTCCATCCCTGGTTTGGGGTCTCCCTGGGCTTCCTGTGAAGAGATACAGTCAGATTTCAGAGAGGCTGCAAGTGTTGGAGAGCCAGGAGGAGAGGTCATCTGTTAAACTCCAGCCAGTGTGACAGCTCTGCCCCAGGGGCCTGGGCACTTGGGGGGCTCGGGCTCTGTGTTCCTGAAACCAGCACACAGGAGCTGGTCCCTTACGGCCTCTGACAGGGCTCATCGCCCCTCAGAGGAGCTTCTTACCCCTCCCGAGAGCTGGCGAGGTCGTGCAGATAGATGCCCGGAAGTAAATGTTGTAGCTCTGGACGCAGGATGTTCCCCACAGTTTTTGAGTGTTGCCATGTGTTAATGCGTAAGACAGTTTGGGGCAAAGTATATACACTGCTGAAGAAGTGTGGGAACTGAACACTCATCACCAGAAAGTGCAGGTTCAGAGGCTGTCAGGTCATTTAGTTCATGACAAAGAAATATTGCTTATCTAAAAACACTAGGAAGCTATGGATGAGTTTTTATTTTAAAAATTACTCACCTTATTTGTTTCATGTGTGGAAATAGCCTGTAGCAGCGGTGGTGAACCTTTTAGAGTTTTCAGTGATTCACACAGCCTGCTGCTGGCACGCATGCCATGGGTTTGCCGTGACTGGCCTCTGCCATCCAGTAAGCTGCCAGCCTTACGTTGCTGCCTCACAGTTTATGCTCTGGATTGGGCTGATTTTTGTGAATTTTTTTGCCAAACTCCTAAACCCTCTGCTGTGCTGGAAGAGCTCTGAAGCTCCCCAGTGCCCCATTGGTACGAGGGAGAGGCCGGTTTGAGGCTTTTCCTGCGTTCCTCGGAGTCCAGTGCCTGTCGTGCTATTGTGCAGGGTCTGCACGTGGGCCCAGCTCTCCCTGTCCGCACAGGCTGCAGCCCCGGGCTCCACGTCGCAGCTCCACGCGGAGGCGGTGGCCACGTCCCCCTGGAGAGGGCTCTGTTGCCTCTGAGAGGAAAATCCTTACTGACCGCTGACTCAGTCCTTGCTGTGCGTTTTCATGTGATTCCTGGTATGAAAGTTTCATAAGCAATATCCTGGTTAATTTATTAATTTCCTTCCATTTGCACCTTCTCCATATTCATGACCTTGCTGCTCGCGGCCGCGCTTTCCTCCCGGTGCCCAGGTGCTGCGCCACACTGTCCACGTCGCAGGCTGCGTGATGCCATGTGCCAGTGACACCTCCTGCCCGGCCAGTGGATAATTAAAGTGCCAGATGATGGAGTGGCAAAGGCTGTATAAATATTTATGCGAGATAAATTATTAATTTACGTTTCATCTAAGACACTTGCAATATGATAAACATTTACTTATCTTAATAATGAGATGGGCCGATGCATAGTGTATGTGAGTGATGTTGTAGGTTTTCTGGTGATTTTTCCCCCTCTGATAGTTTTCAACTAACTAAATAAATTTACTTCACATGCATGAACCTGCAGAAGGGGGACTCCATTTTTAAAAAGTCCCTGTTTAAGAAAATTAAAAGCATATCAAATAAGCCAAGAGATAAAGACTGACAAATCAGCAAAACTCCTTAGACCTCCAATTAGCCATTTGTTATTGAAAGGATCCGCTCTGGGGCTGCGGTGCCGCGGAGGAGAGTTTAAGTAACTAATTTAGAACGGTGTTCTCGTTCTCCAGAGGGGATGCACGGGGCGGTCTGGCCACTCTGTTGGGCTGAGACTTCAATTAGGCAAACGAACGTGCGGAAGCAGTGTTCCATCGTGCCGCCTTCAGTCAGCCTCCTCAGGGTGCTCCTCTGCACTTTCCTTAGAAGTGCCCCCGTTTCCTGTGAGCTTGTCTGGTGTGCTAAAACTGCAGAGGAAGGGTCTACACGGTTTCAAAGGGAAAGACAGTGGTCAGTCAGGTGAGAAGCAAATAAAATGTTTTGTGCTCTGGAGTGATCTTTAGGAATCAGTAAACTTTCAATGTTGAGCCGTGTTGCATTAGCGCAGGAGTTTCTGTTATGACTTTGTATGCAGAATCTTAGTTAAAATATACTCTATAATTTATGAAAATAATTTCATGGAGGAAGAATAATGTTATCTTTGCTTTGAGATGTCTAGAGTGACGCTCATAATAGCTATCAGAGTACATTTTCGTGTTGATCCTAAAACATCAAATTGTAGTATTTGGAAGACCAATTACTCTTCTTGTGCATGGCTCATCATTAAAGAAAGCTCAGAAAACGTCAGTCTTAGTGTTTCACTGATAGTGGGAGTTGCTAGGGATGTGAAATACACTGCCTGCTTGATTCTCTACCTATAGGGATTTTTTTCGTCTTTAGAACAAATCCATGAGTATTTCAGGTCTGTTTAGTGCAATTAGAAAGTAGGGTAACTTAAAGTAGAACTGACTTAGTTTTAGAACAGAGAATCAATATGTGGATTACCTAATACTTTCTGGAAGACAGATGTCTCACTTGTTGCTTCTAAAGCGTGGCAAGAAATCTGGATCTTTCTTAGAAGATTTTTACCTGTGAGATATCCCGTAAACATACGTCCTACATACATACCTGTGAGGTATTGTATACATCCTACCAAGCTCTTTCCTCGAGCATATACGGGCATGCACACGTACACATGTGCACACACATGAACAGTATCCTAGTTTCATTGTATGGTTTATTTTATTCTTATTTCCATTCTGACCTCCCTTTGTGAAGCATGCACGTGCGCGCGTGCGCGCGCGCACACACACACACACACACACAGAGTGCTCTCCAGCCCTGGCTGTGTACCCATTGCTACCCAGCATTCCTTGGGATTCCTCCACATCATGCCCAAGCTGCAGCGCTCTTAGATGGTGTGCTGCCCACCTGTGGTCCTTACAGTGAAGTCGTCTGCTGCAGCGTTTGAATGGCGACTGCTTCCTCCAGGTGCTGCGCACTGTGCTGCAGGCTCCTATAGGCAGCGTTTGCCTCATCAGTATTCTAACACATCATTCCCTTTAAAGGTACCGCCTTACACTGCAGATTTCTGGCCAGCCAGAGCTTGCATGCCACTCTGGCATGCAATGGCCTTTCATTGTAAGTTGTGCGTTAGAATCAAACAGGGCCACCTTTCCTTTCCTTAGTTCACCTCTTCAGAAGTGCCTCTGGCTTCAGTGCCCGTCTGTCCTCAGATTCAGCATAGGCATCCTGGCTGCTCCTGAGGATGCTCCTGGGCCTTCTGCCCCGCACGGACATAGGCTGGATGCAGAGCAGCGCCTCTGTTTGAGAGCCTGGCGGTGTGTGGGTAGACGTGGACCTAGCTCTGCCCACCATGCTGCCCGTCCCCACTGGGGCTCCTGTTCTTTTCTGGAGTCTCTGCCACTTAATCTCAGCAACGTTTTACTTTTCTTTGTGCGTTCTCTGTCCTTAGAGCTCATGAGAACACTCACTTCCTATCTGAGACCTGCTGTTCGGGTGAGTCACGTGTCCAGCTGGAAGCCAAGCCCCAGTGTCCTCTGTGCAGTGGCGGCCGCTCTGGCTCCTCGGGCTGCCGCCACACCCTCGCTGCAGACGGTGGGGTCCGGCTGCCCCGGCGCCCAGGCGCCGAGAGCTGCGCGTGTGGTATCCGGACGTCCTCCAGCATAACACCGGCGCAGCCATTTGCTTTGTCTTTTTTTTTTTTTTTTTTTTTTCCTGCCACAAGAAACATCCATATTGAAACGAGTGTCCGGTCACACAGAAATTCAGCCAAACTTTTTTTTTTTCAATCGATGTAAATCTCTCATACCGTTTAAATGTCGGAACTAAATTTACCAAACTTGGCAGATTTGTAAAGCTGAGCAGGACTGCCAAGTGTTCCCAGTTTCAAGCAGAGAGTTCTAACAGTTCCTGAAATACTTGTAGGAGGCACCTGGTGGTAATTGCAGCTTCGCGATTCTTCTCCAGCACCTACCTTGCTGGCTGGCATCTGCATGCTGATAATCACTGCGGTGCTAGTGTTGGGATAGAATGGTCCCCAAACACGGCCCTGCCACGGTGGATAGGCACACTGCATACTCTTCCTTTCGCAGAGCCCGAGAAAGTGAGCCTGGGGTCCCTGACACAGTGCCAGGCGGGGTGGAAACCAGGCACAGGCCCTGAGTGTCTAACCCAGCCCTTTCTCATTCCCGCCTCACAGGGGCTGCTGTCGGAGATCCTGCGCAAGGAGGAGGACCCCAGAACAGCCTCGCAGTCCCTGCTCGTGAACCTGCGGGCCATGCAGAACTTCCTTAACCTGCCTGAGGTGGAGCGGGACCGCATCTACCAGGATGAGCGTGAGCGCAGCATGAACCCCAACGTAAGCATGGTGTCCTCGGCCTCCAGCAGCCCCAGCGCCTCCCGCACCCCACAGGTGAGCTGCCTGTTTGCGCCCCAGCATCCGGTCCCCGCCTGCTTCACAATACAAACCCAGAGACTTGATTCAAGGATCCCCTAACCTGCAAATGGGTGAAAGGACAAGACCTCTGGCCCCCTGGGGTGCTCCTTCTGTGTGTGAGGGCCTGTGGGCCCTTGGGAAGGGAGAGGGGAGGAAAGGAGGGCGGGCGTGACCCCGGGGTGTCCCCGGCCCCTGCTTAGCTCTGGAAGGAGAAGGGTGCGTTGAGGTGGGAGCTGAGCTGCACAGGAGGCACACTGCTCCCTCGGACAGGGTGTTTATTTGGGTGCAGAGTGTTGGGAACAAGGCAGGGGACAGCCAACCATGTTCTGCTTTGTGCAATTCCAAAATGAGATGGGCAAGCCCTGCACATGCCTCGACCATCTGATCCGGTGGTGACAGCACCGCACTGCGGGCCCTGGGGCAGTGAGGGTGAATAGCGGGCTGCAGTCGTTGTCCTTCCAGACGGCGCCCTCCTGGGCTTGGCCGGCTTCACCCTTGCTCTGCTCCACGTTGAAGGACTCGGTCCTCAGCCTCGTGCAGGTGCGTGCAGCCAGGGTGCATGTGGTGTGCTCATGAGCGCCCGTGGGAAGTCAAGGACGCTGGCTGCCGGGGCCTTCCCAGTGCAGACCTGAGCCCACGCCTCCCGCCTGCTCCGGGTCTCCCTAAACCTCTCCATTTGGTACTTTTCCTCAAGCCCCCTCACTCGCTGTTGCTAGCTCGGGTTACAGGTTCTGCGGGGTAGTCTCAGAACGGTGTCTAACACATATGAGTTTGTACAAAACTCAGAGCTGGGTGCTTCCAAAACAGAGGTAGTTCTGCTCCGGTACTGCAGTTTTGCTTTTGAGTTTATTTTCCAATAGAGTCCAAGGAGCTGGTTAAGCACAAAACCAGAGTTTTATTCTAGTAGGAATATTTGAAATTTTTAAAGCACATCAATTTTTTCACATATCTTGACCATTTTTTATATTTTTGCACCTGTAATAGATTTTTAATTGAAGATCCCTGTCTGTCGTGCACTGCCAAATTGTGTGACTTACACGTTAGTCTTTAGTAAATTTTGAGCTTTCATTACTGTTAAACCAAAAATAAGTCCCTTGATTGCTTGCTTTGGACAAGTATAGCCAACCCTTTTTACTTATTTTTTAAATGTGAAAGCATACATATTGAGCTGTTAAACGGGGCAAGCTGTTAATTTGCACTAATACTTAAATTCACCTGGATTTTTGCCACTTTTGAAGCCCATGACCCATTACTGGAGAGCCCTGTCCTGCCCTTCCCAGAAAGGCCCTTCCCTTGTTTGGAAGCAGCCCCTTTGTAGCACTGTCCCACCCCTGTCTTCCCCCATCCCGTCCAGGACCCTGATCTACTTACAAGGCCCCACAGCTGGGACAGTAGTTTGCTTTTTCTGAACAGAATCCAATTTTTAACATTCTTAGATAAGGATTCCCTTTGGGGATGAGTATAGGAGAGAGATCATCTATCTGTTCTGAAAATAAATGTGAGATACTAAAGCATGTTTCTGAGAGTGCAGTTGGGGCAGTGCAATTTCCTGGAAATTTTCTTCTTCATTTGATGGTTATGGATCCAGGAAGGGGTCATGAAGGTCTTCGAAAACACGAACACCTACTGACCTCGCATTTTCCCGGACATCTCTGCAGCCAGGACCCATGGTGCAGGAAGGGTCCCCATGAGCAGGGTGGCCCACCGCCAGCCAGGCCTCGGCCCCCGCACTGTGCCGTGGGTCCTGGCCCCCTGGAGGACTCCCAGGAAGCTCAGGCTCCAGAGGCTCTTCACGCAGCTCTGGGCTTCACCAGTCTTCCTCAGTGTGCTTTGAGTAAACAGCGACCGCACAAGGGCCAGAGCTCTCACCGAGCGCTCAGTGTCCGATCCCCTTCCCGTGGACCCCTTTATCGCTGCTTTACAGAACTGTCCCGTTTACCAATGAGAAAGTAGGCGTGGCTGTAGGAGTTAAATAACTCCCAAGGCCGCGGGGCTGAGCGGCAGAGCTAGATTCGAAGCGCACTTGTTCTGACCTGAACTCCTGACCACGCAGTGTAGTTCCTGAGGACTTCCGGCTTAGCCTTCCAGGTCCAGAGGCCTCACTTGGGGAAGAAGAGACGGTTGGAGGGGCTCCTGGGAACAGCTGAGAAAGGCAGGCACCATGTGAAAACGTTCGCTTAGGAGGGCAGCGCACTGTGGGTTAGACTCGGGGAAGAAAAAGGAGTTTCTCGGAGACATGAGAGTGGGTGGGTTGTGACGGGAAGGTAGATGGGAAGAGGACCCGGTAGACACCACAGCCCGCTGAGCTGGAGGCCTGGAGAGTGGGCAGCACTGGGGACCAACGTGCTGCAGGGCCCGAGGGACCTGTGTCCAGGTCCGGCTCCTTACTCCCCACTGCAGGCTAAGCATCCTCTTTGACCCTTGGTCTGTCTGCAAGAGGACCATGACCACGCCTCACTCGCTGGATGCTTTCACGAATTGAGAGAAAAGTCAAAGCTCTTTCTAGAGTACCCGGCCCGTGAGAGAACCCCTCACGCGTACTCACTGTGACTCGGCCTTCACAGACCCCGCCCCGCCTTGCCCTCCCCCGCCCGCTGCATGGCCACACAGTGCCCTCGGCGTGGGGTCCTCGCGTGGGTAAGGCCAAAGGAAAACCCACGTTGGGCCCACTGCATGGCCCCCCTGCCCAAGGGTCCTGCTGCAGGGCCCCTGGAGCCCCTCAGGCCTGTCCCTGGGCACCAGCAGGGCCAGGACCCCGTGAACCCCAACAGTCTTTGGGATCAAGTGGATTCAGATGTGTAGGGTTTTCCTCGCCCCAGGAAGCACAGCTACCTGCTGGCTTGTCCTTCATTTGTCTCTGAAGCGGATGGGAAATCATTCAATTAAAACGCGCACGGCAGAATACATAAAACTGCAATATGAGTTTAAGGAAATGAAAACGGGACATCACAGGCATTCTGAAGCTGAGTTTCATGAAATGAAATTTTGTTTCATTTCCACTGATTTCCTAGGTGAAATTAGGTGACTGTCTGGGTAGCATAATGATGATAACAGTGGGCCCACGCATATTCAAATGACACGCGGAAAGGTTCAATAACGGAGGAGAACAACCCTGGGGAGCGCATTAAATCGAGTAATAACTTATTATTTAGAGACCTCTACCCATTTACCCATTTTTTCTGGGAGAATTGGCTCTTCCCAAGGTGTGCCACTTCTAGGTAGGAAAGGTGTGTGTTCTGCACACTGACTTTGCACCTCGCTGACTGCCCGTAGCAGCATGCTGCCCAGGGTGCCCCCCACCCCCCGGGAGCCGCGCAGGGCGCCACGAGGGAGAAGACAGGGTCACCAGGACTCCGCGCGTCCTACAGGAGCCTCCCGCAATTATTTCCAATCACAATTAACCTGATTAGAATAATAGACAGGAAGTGTCCCTCTGTAGCAAATGCGGCTTGGCATCAGCTGACTAAAGTCCTCTGACAATTTCTGCACAGATGGCTGGGCTTAATGCAGCACTTTTTAAATTATTATTTCCATGGTCTCTTGGTAGGCCAAAACCTCGACACCGACAGCAGACCTCCCCATTAAGGTGGACGGCGCCAACGTCAACATCACAGCTGCCATTTATGACGAGATCCAGCAGGAGATGAAAAGGGCCAAAGTGTCCCAAGCCCTGTTTGCCAAAGTGGCTGCAAATAAAAGTCAGGTGAGTGGTTTTTAAAGGAGCAAAGTCAAGGGCTGGAATGAGACCCTCCGCCGCCTCCTCCCACCAATAAAAATCCATCTGTTCCTTAATAATAATAACAGCAATCATCCCCAGGGAACCTGTCACAGTCCACCTTGGCCTCTGCTTCCGCTGGATTCAGCGGCGAGGCTAAGCCAAAGCCTGGGTTTTTCTTTTGAAGAATTTTAGTTTTCAAAGACTTAACCTGAACGGTCCTCCTGTTACTCTAAGCACTGCCGGGGCCCGCCTTGGGTGCTTTGTTTTCCCCTCCACACACACCGCCCGCCCCCCAGACTGTGATTGACTGATTTATAGCTCAGCCGGGTCAGGGCTTCTCCGTGCTCCTGCTGGGCAGGGCTGGTCCTGCTGTGATAACCCGCGTCCGGCCCCAGGGCTCCTGGCCCATCAGGTGCCTCTTTTCTGTTCAGAGGACAGTTGTTTTTCCAGCAGGAAACACACATGGGGAATCCAAAGTCAGTGTTAAAATCTTTTAACAGAAAAACATGGAAGCTCATCCAGTAAAAATGTTCAGATTGTTGGGGTGGTGAGGATGGAGAGCTCGAGGGAGAGGCACAGACAGATGCTTCAGCTTTTATTTCTGTAAACAGCAACAGTTGAGGGGCCCTGCTCTCTGCTTCAGCTTGTTTAAAGGGACAACTGCTGGCTGATCGCAGATACCTGTGAGCAGGACTTCCGTTCAGCCCCGAAGATAAGCCAGAATGCACGCTACAGAACCCGAAAGTTGGTTACAACGTAACTCTGAGTGGTGTTTGATTTCGGACTGGATTTCCTCTGTGACCATGCATGACAGATGTCCTCCCATCATGCACAGAGATGGGGAAGTGGCTGGTCCCCTCCTGAGCAGGTCTTCTGTTATGTGTGCCATAGAAAATGGCTATTAGGGCAAGAAGGTTTTCAGTAAAAGGTAGGCTTTTAAATGAGCAGAGCGTTTTTGGGTGGATTAGATTATTGTGGGTCTAGGCTTTGTTTTTTGCCTGCGTTAGTGCAGCAAACTGACCTCAGGTGTTTTCAGATGTTAATACCGAGAAAGGAGAAGAATGTCAGGGAATGTTGAACAGGGCTGCGATGTCTCCCTTCTCAGCTGCAGTGTAGTCCCTTTCCCAGATGACTCCAACTCTCTCCATCAATGAAGCCAGTGAAACACAGCTTGCTGAGATACGATGTCCAACCCTAGCATGAAACACATGAAAAGAAAATACCATGGAGCCTTCTTAAACTGTTAAATGCATAAAATCCCATGTACCACATGGCCAGATATAATGAGGGTTGGAGCTGTTAAATGAATAAAGCTGTTAAATGCATAATGCCACTTGGCAAAACTACTGTGCATTTAATGGTTTTCCACTGTGTAATAAAGGACATATGTGGCAAGTGTGCAGCGTGTAAAAGCTGCACAATCGGTTTTGCAAACCTGTCCCTGTGCCGCGACTTGATGTAAATATCAAAGTTCTGCCCGGCACTTCTTTTATGAGCATCTTTCGTGGACCACGGAGGACCACAGTGTGAGAACGTGATCCCCGGGGCCTGTGACCGGCCCGTGGACGTGGCGTCCAGGCCCTGGCATTAGCGGCGGCGCAGCTCCCCACACGGGTCAGGTGGCAGAGCCGTGCCTGCCAGTTGGCAGAAGCACGTTTTTTGATGCTTCCTGAAGAAGTCGGTAGCCGAGATTTCGTAGAATCTGTGGGAAAGTCATTCTGGGAACGAGAGCACTGAAGGGTGAGGCTGGGCCTCCGTGGGGATGGGACACTGGGAAGCTCGGCCTTTCTCCTGGCTCGCTGGCCTCTGTGTTGCTGATCAACGGGAAACCTTAATGTGAAGGCCTGACTAGATAAGCAAGACAAGTGTGTGGTTTCAGAAAGGGGGCTGCCACAAAGATGTGCTTACCGGTAGTTTGGAAGGCAGTCGGTATAAGATGCGTACTCCCTTGTCTGAGCACCGGTGTGCGTGCCTTGGAAGGAACATGCCTTGTGAGTCCAACCACTCGGCACCGCGTACAGGTAGCTGGTGTGTGTCCTAACGGGACTGAACTCCTGGGGGGACCTCGCCTCAGAACAAAGGCTTTCTCGCCTCTCCTCCATCCTCTTCCCTCCCTCCCTCTCTCGTTCTCCCTTGGAGTGATCAGATTTTGTTGGAGTGACGGAGGAGGGAATGTCTCTTGGAGACTTTCTATTTGCGCCGAGGTCAAATTAGTGAGTCCTTTAATGAGGAGCTCTTGTGAGCTGGAGCAGGCCAGGAGCCCAAGGCCCTGTTCTCATCCACACAGTGCCCATCCCTCCCTTCCCATCAGAAAGTTCTTTTAGAGTGGAAACTGGCTTGCCATCAAGCCTCATTCCTTCTGGGTGTGAATTGCTGTAATCACCTATTAAAAATAACGCCAAGCGCTGCCCTGCGGAGGGCAGCTTTGAAGGAGGAGCTGCAGGCGGGGGAGGAGCTTGGCGGGTGAGTGCTCTGCCGGCCACTCGAGCCAAACCTTGGGGAAGCGCAGAAGAGAGCAGGGGCCTGGGCACGACCCCTGGGCCCGCGAGTGTGCCCGTTGCCTTAGTGCATGACGCTTGTCTGCACGCGTGGTGTGTGTGAGCCCAGGAGCCCTGCTGTAGCTCAGTGCCAGCTGCTGTGTATGGCAGGGCGCTCTGTGCCCTTCCTTCATGGGAGGAAAGTCAGCGGGAGCAAACGGGGCGAAACAAGCTTGCACGTGGTTCACTGTGTGCTCCTTCTGCACACTTGATGTGGGGTCCTTTGAGCTGTGCAGAGTAATATTTTGTGAGCCTGGAGGACTGGCTTCATGCTCTTTCCGTAGACGTGCTCTCTCGAGGTCGGACGACGCTGTAGCCAGGACTGCTCTCACTGAGGAGGGGTGAGGGCCCTCAGGGCGCGCATGCTCATGTGTGTAGGACACTGCGTGTACAGTCATGCCCGGTGTGCCTGTGGTGCCACAGGAGCTCCTCGTCCCTCGGTGGCCCCTGCCATCTCCCATGTGCTGCCATTCTGCAGGGTTACTAGCCCCGTACCTTTCCACCTGCCCTGTCATGGGGGCCTGGGGGTGGCGATCCAGAGGGGTGAAGGCAGCCTCCTAGGGCAATCCCTCTTCAGTCCTCCAGGCATGGAGGCTCAAGCAGGAGGATCACCATGAGTTGAAGGCCAACCTGGGCTACATAGTGAGTGCAAGGCCAGTGTAAACCATAGCGAGATGCTGTCTCAAATAAAGAAATCCTTGTCAGGGTCACTGTGAAAGAGTTTTTCCCCGTGTTCTCTCCTAGGGGCTGCACAGCTTCTGGCTGTATGTGTGGGTGTTTTATCCATTTTGACTTGATATTTGTCTGTGGTAAAAGATTGCAGGATAAGGGTCCAATGTCCTTCTTCTGCATGTGGAAGCCCAGCTTCGCAGCACCATCTGTTGAGGAGGCTTGCTTTCCTCCTGTGCCTTCTTGATGCCCTGGCTGAGAATTGCTGGGACATTTGTGCTTGGATGTACTGCTGGGCTCTCTGCGCTGTTCTTTTGGTCTGTGTTTGCCTGTTTGCTTTAATGCAGTACCATACTGTTTTAATTATTCTAGCTTTGTAAGGTAATTTAAAATCAGGAAGTGTGATTTGCTTTCTTTCTCAGTATTGCTTTGGCTATTTGGTTTTTTGTTGCTGTTTTGTTTTTCATTTTCTTATTTGAGGTTTTGTGGTTTCATATGAATTTTAGGATTTTTTTCTATTTCTTTGAAGAATGCCATTGAAATATTTCCTTCCTTTCACTTTCTCTTTGTCCTTTCTCTTTCTTTCTTTTCACCTCTTCTCTTCATCTTCTTCTTCCTCAACCTTGTCACAGTGCTTCACTGTTATTTCTAGTATTCAGGAGGAGAATAAAGACTCCACATCATTCTTTTGACAGCTATGAATGCTTTTTCAGGTTCCTGTGCTGAGTGTGCATGGGTGCATATTTATGTAAAGACATTCTAACTCTCTGTAGTATGTTGTACATCTATGGTAAAGGGGACAGCAACATTTGATGTGATCCTCCTGGACTTGCACCTCTGTAGCAGAAGTCAAGAGATGTTCTCAAATAAAATCTCCCTTACTCTCGGTGACAGACTCGACCTTTGCCAACACATCCATAACCATGTGGATAACCATGTGGAAAATGGCAGTCAGGTAGCCCCGGGACAGCTGGAAATCGGTCCCCTTGTCAGGACGGGATGTGATTTTGGAAAATGGAAAAGAAGGTCAGTTTCACTGCCTCCTAGCAGGCAGCACATAGTTAGCCTTGAACTGTAGCCTCCCCTCGCACAGACCTGGGCTCAGGGTCAGGGTCTTCCTGGCTGGGATCTGCCGAAGCCCCAGACGTGTCTTCCTCCTAGTGAGCCCCCTTCTGCTTCAGCTTTCCTGATTAGGTTATCTGGAGTCATTAGGGGTTATTCATTTTAATGGACACTTATTGGATTCATGAAAAGAGACTTCAGTGACTGAGACACAGGAGCTGAATGTTATCTGGCTCGTTTCACACTTCAGAAGAGTCTCAACCAGCTGAAGAGAAATCCTTTCACAGTTATGAAAGTTTGTTTGGGGACTTTCTGTGCTTCTCTGGAGAAAGCGAACTGTCTGTGGTTAATAATACAAATTTTCTTTTAAGACACTGAGAAAACATTTCCTTTGGTTACATATGCTGACATTTTCTGTATTGAAGATGTGGGTGATAAATGGCCTTTTACATTTCTGCTGCAAGAAGCCTGAGTCATTCTCCAGAGCTGTTCATTTGCCGACGTTCATTCCTCAGGGTTTCTGGAGGGGCAGGGGGTGGGGTCCCGACTCCTGTCACCCAGGTCCTCCTCAGGGACATCCGGTGAAGCACAGTGCTGGAGCAAATCCCTGTCTCAGGGAGCACAGGCCTACTCCACAAGGGTGAAGTTCTTCTCTCTTCCTGGAGACCAGAGCAGACTAAAGCTCATGTTAATACTAGCTTGTATTTTATTATGAAA